GCATAAGGCTACGTGTCCATTGAAGCGGAGGGGGCAGCGGAGAAACGAAGAAATATTAACCAATAGGATTGCATGAAATCTCCACTTCGCTTTAAAGGAGAGGGATTTGCGAGCTAGTTTAAAAATTAATACATTTTCGGAAGCGGTGCATGGTAGCGGTGCGAGTAGCGGTACGAGATGGCGAAGCGGGGCAGCCGAATGAGCCGGCGGCGGAAAAGCGGTCCCGGGAGCGGGGCGGGGGTATGGGATATTGGGATAGTATAGTGTACCGCATAAAATTGACGTGTAAAGGTGCTGCCTTGTAGCCTATTTGCAGAAATAAATTCACTCGTTTCACTTGTTTTACTTGTTTCACTTGTTTCACTTGCTGAAGTTTGAGAGTCCATTACTCCGATCAGCGATACTCGCTAGCTCCGCACCGCTTCCTCACTCTGCCTCAATGGACAGACACAGTCCGTAACTCCGCTCCGCAATACTCGCTAGCTCCGCACCGCTTCCTCGTTCTGCGTCAATGGACAGACACAGTCAGTAACTCCGCTCCGCAATACTCGCTAGCTCCGCTCCCCGCCCCTCTCTGCGTCAATGGACAGGCAGCCTTAAAAGGTGTTACAACCTATTTAGAATACATTGAATACCATTTCTTAACAAAAACAGTATTCAAGATTTATTTGTAAACTTATAAGTATCTAATATGCCGTTCTCTATGCGATAAAAATATAAATTATATTCTTATTCGCAGCTGGTACTGGGGCGGCTGAAAAACTATACTTAAAGTGAATTTAAAATAGATTTTCAATGTGTTTGACACTAAATAAGATAGATTATAGTTTGATTAGCCACGTTATGAATGACTTTTTCTTAAAATAAGGGTGTTAATGTGTCGTTGTCGTGGCCCAGAGGTTCAAGACGCCCGCTTCTCATGCATTAGGGTGCGGGCTTGAAACTTACCAACGACATGTATCGATGTGACTTTTCCGAGTTATATGTACTTTCTAAGATTATCTAGACACCAATGATAAATGGTAAAGGAAAGAATCATGAGGAAACCTGGGCTTATAATTTTTAAATTTAAGTATGAAATCGCTAACCAATAATTGAGCAAGCGTGGTGATTAATACTCGAACCTTCTCCGTGTGAGAAGAGAACCCTTTAAAACCATTTTCACGGTAACCAGTAGCTGCGTAGAGGGTTGTGGATCCAATTTGTAACTCGACCTTTAAGGATAATAAGTACTAAAATGGAAATTAAGTTAATTTTTTTACCAGCCTTTTTTTTAATGGAGGAGGCAAACAAGCAGACGAATCACCTGATGATAAGCGATCAGCGCCACCTATGGACATTCGCAACAGCAGGTTCGTCACAGTTGCGTTGCCGGCCGTTTAAAAAGAATACGCTCTTTTTGTGAAGGTTTGAAGGTCGTATCAGTTCGGAAATACCGCCGACGACACAGTTTTGTTGTGCGAGGTAGATAACGCACATTATAAATAATACCTAGTACTAGTAAGGGGTTAGTGTAGCTGATCCCTTATGCTCAGTAACTCTACCACCGACTGCCTCGTTGGCCGAGTGGTCGCGAGTGCGACTGCCGGGCAAGGGGTCTCGGGTTCGATTCCCGGGTCGGTCAAAGTATTACTGAGTTTTAAAAAAATTCTCAGTAGTAGCACGGAGTCTGGAATTGTGCCCGGTATATGGCAATAGGCTCACCCCCTATTACATGGGACTCATAACATAAATAGTGAAAAGTGGGTGTTACATTGTACAGTGGCATAATGTGCACCTCTGCCTACCCCTTCGGGGATAAAAGGCGTGATGTTATGTTATGTTATGTTA